GTATGCCGTCATGGCAGCATACTGCCATCGCGTGGCAAGAAAAGGAAAGTTGTCGGAGGTCGGGAAATCAGAAAAAATCGAACGGAATAAATAAACCAAAGCTGCCAAAAATATTATAAGATGACAAAGAGAATGAATGTGCAATTATTTAGTCGAAATCTTCCAGGTCCCGGAGTGAGACTGCCGGTTGAAAGCCTGTTAAATGTGGTGAAAACAGTAGGTCGTCAAAAAAGTGGGGTCTCTTAAACTTGCCGGGGTGGGGTAGTCCCCACGATACAACGACCGCGAGACGGCAAATGGGTTAAAGACCGTAAGACCTGACACCTATGCATGCATACAAACACATTCGAGCACATGCTAGGATGAAAGCAACAGAGGATCACAAAGGAAGACTAGGGAATTAACTGACTTTGATGAGTCTTTATAAAATCCTGAGTTCCCGGAATCTACACCAGCCCGAACATTCGAGTCGGTCGACAAAATTAATATCATGAAATGTTTGTGCAGATAGTTTTATTACATCTTTCCACAGGTAGTTCTTCCTTTTTAACTACACATTGTGCTGTTCTTGTACGGCAAGCACCAGAAAAAAACATTTGTGGACAAAACAAGGGCACCTCCTGTTAGGGCCAAAAACCATCGTACTGAAGCGAAAGAAGCTACCGCGCTGGTGACAGGTTCCGTCCCGCAAAAACAAAACAAAGCAAGATAAAACGACAAAACACATTCCGATCGATTAACGGATTAACTGGTGATAAAATGTGTAAAACATAAGGCATGTGTCCTAAACACGCGTGAGAATATTGTACAGATACAGAACATTATGAGGTATGCGTCGTTTATGCATGAGCTTGTTCTTTGCAATTTCTCGTTCATTATACAGTGTTATTTTAAAATCTGACTACATGCACGATGTTGCGTACACAGTACCTTGCACTGTTTTTAAGGATTAAAAAATAAATCCCTATATTTAGTGACAGGCCACTTAGCACCGTTAAAATATGCATTAGACTTTTAACTTATATTGTACACGCGTTGCATTTAAACCCCGGCTGATACGCCCCCTCTCGGTCACTCCAGTGGTTATCGGAGCACGGCGCGGTCCCGAGTCAGGGATGAGTCTGACGAACCACGCCCTCGAGGAGGAGTGGCTCGAAAGCTTGGGGTATGCACTGTTTTATAGATTGCGCGCACAAACAGTAAAAATCCATGTATATATATTGTAAAAAGAAAAGTTTTGTTATAAACTACTAATATGACGCTCTTAAAACTAAGACAAAAAACATTATGATTTAAGAACATAAGAAATTTACAAACGAGAGGAGGCCATTCGGCCCATCAAGCTCGTTTGGGGAGAACTTAGCTAATAGCTCAGAGTTGTTAAAATCTTATCTAGCTCTGATTTAAAGGAACCCATGGTTTTAGCTTCCACTACAATAGCAGGAAGACTATTCCATACTCTGACTACACGCTGTGTAAAGAAGTGCTTCCTCAAATTTGTTTTAAAATGTTCTCCCGCTAATTTCCACTTATGGCCACGAGTTCTAGTATTTAGACTAATATTGAAATAGTCATTTGGCTGAACGGCATCCAGACCCGTTAGAATCTTATAGACCTGAATCATATCCCCCCTTAGCCTCCTTTGCTCAAGGCTGAACAGATTCAGTTCCGCTAACCTCTCCTCGTAAGACATTCCTCTAAGACCAGGAATCATTCTCGTAGCTCTTCGTTGCACCTTTTCTAAGGCAGCAATGTCCTTCTTGAGGTATGGTGACCAAACCTGCACACAGTATTCTAGGTGGGGTCTTACCAAGGAATTATATAAGTGTAACATCACCTCCCTTGACTTAAACTCCACACATCTAGAGATATAACCCAACATTCTGTTCGCCTTTTTTATTGCTTCCCCACATTGGCGAGAGTGGGACATGGAAGCATCAACATACATACCGAGATCTTTCTCGTAATCAGCTACCTTTATTTCAGTGGAACCCATAAAATATCTGTACTGTATATTTCTGCTCCCTGCATGGATTACCTTACATTTATCTGTGTTAAATTTCATCTGCCAAGTATCAGCCCATTCGCTAATTAAATCCAGATCCCGTTGGAGCCTCTCTGCTGCTAGATTAGTATCTGCTACCCCGCCCACCTTAGTGTCGTCTGCAAATTTAACCAGTTTACTGTATGTATTCGTGTCAATATCATTAATGTAAATTAGGAACAATAGTGGTCCTAAAATTGAACCCTGCGGTACCCCACTATAAACGGAGGCCCACTGTGACATAGTGCCTCTAATAACTACTCGCTGCTTCCTATCAGTTAGCCAGTTTTTGATCCAAGCTGCCACAGTTCCTAAAATTCCTGCAGCTTTAAGCTTTAACAAGAGCCGTTTGTGGGGGACAACATCAAAGGCTTTCTGGAAATCTAAGTAAATGACAGTGGGCGGAGTGTAAAGTTAGCGTGGTGAAATGATAGTGGGCGGAGCGAAAGGTTACTGGGCATGGTGAAATGTTAGTGGGTTTGGTGACAGGTTAGTGGGTGTCAAAAGCTGGGTGTGTCGACAGGAAGAAATAGGTGGAACCAAACGCGTAATTTTACCGCTCTACCGAATCAGCTGACACAGCTACATCGGGAAACATATTTGAACTGCATAAAAATGAAAGACTCTACGGCAGTGTGCCGGGTAAAAAATAATCCTGAGGGTAAATCGCGGTTTCTGTGCGTTTACGTTCCGACTCTCGTGCCATAACACAACGCTGGCGCAAAAAATTGGGGCTTGTTAAAAATATATTTAAAAACTTAAATTCATGCAGTAAAAAACCTTTCAAACTGTAAGTAACTTTAATTAACAATTAAAATGAATAAAACTATTATGGAAATTCCTGATCCACTATTAGGGGTAGTTACGTTTTTAGCTAAACCCGTGGGGCCGTTATCTCCCTTGAGCTGTAGAAGTTTTATTTCGGCTCCCCCTTGTGGTCTGAAATGTAAATTTCCTTCCCAGCAAGATCAGACAAGTGTCTGCAGGCTGGAGTGGTGGGCAAGTCGAAAGGAGACGTGTGCGATAGAGCCGGCGTGCCAAACAGTTATTTCTTCGACCGAAAACGCTGTGAATAAATGATATTTGAGAACATAAATTTACCAGCTATACAAGCAATAACTAATTAACAGATATTTATAATTAAATGCCTGTTTCATATTTGTTCATATAGTGTGAGACATTTTCTATTCTTTTTTACACTTGCTGCTATACTTCCAGAAACTGGAAATTACGCGTTTGGTTCCACCTATTTCTTCCTGTCGACACACCCAGCTTTTGACACCCACTAACCTGTCACCAAACCCACTAACATTTCACCATGCCCAGTAACCTTTCGCTCCGCCCACTAACAGTTCACCACGCTAACTTTACACTCCGCCCACTGTCATTTCACCTGCCCAGTAACCTTTCACTCTGCCCACTATCATTTCATCACGCCCACTAACTTTACACCCCGCCCACTATCATTTAACCACGTCCCCACTAACTTAACACTCCGCCAACTATAATTTCACCACGCCCACTAGCCTTTCACCACACCCACTATAATTTCACCCCACCCACTAACATTTCACCCAGCCTACTTTCATTTCACCACGCCCACTACCCTTTCACTCCACCCACTCTCATTTCACCATGCCCACTAACCCTTTCACCATACCCACTACTCACACCTCAGATCAAGGATGGGGGGGGGGGAGAGGGGAGAGTTCACTTAACACATTGTGAATGTGGGGGTAATATTGTGATAATAAATGGGTATGTTCAGATCAAATGAACACGTGTGGGGCAGAATAAGCAAAGAATCACCCTTGTTTTACAGACTGATTACTCCAGAGCAGCGTCGTCGTGAGAATCAGCGACACTTACCAAACCTTTTTGCCAAAAAGGTCCAACGATTGTTTTCAGGTTGTATCACTAGATGTTCACATCACAAATAAACGACAGTGATCCCCTGGAAAGAGGCAATCAGGGATGTGTATGAAACCAACCCTGCTAGGATTCTCCAGATGTGGGTCAGGTGACCTCCACATCTAGCATGCATCAGTACAGATGACACTACACAAGACAAATAGGCTCCATTTTAAACTCCAGTCCTTGGGAAGGTACAGAATGTGCCAATTCCTTCCATGTTACCTGCATAATTGGAATCACTAGCGTGACCTCATTGTGCGTCCTACGTTATTAGTAGACGTGATGTTTCTGAGAAGGGAGATCTCATGCGAGCAGGTATGCCCAAACCACGGTCCTCCAAGCCTGAAGAGGGCGCTGATGTTTCATGTGACCTGAGCTGTAACCGGCTTCAGTAAAGGAGCTGCCCCACCCAAAGCTGCAGCTCAGGTGCTTAAGTATCTTTTAAAGCCAGACTCAGTCTGAGGATACCTGAAGGCAGAGAGTCCATTTCATTTCAGAATCATCACTATTGCCAGCTATCGAAATGCCATCTCAGATGGGGCTTTTGTTTTCTTGCGTTTGAGTTAGGTTAAACTAAAACAGAACAAAAAGTTCTACTAAACCGCCCATCAGAATGCCCTACAAGGTCACACTTGACGGTGTGTGACCTTCAACACAGACCTTGTGGTGGGGGTGTCCAAATCCGTTTTGTGTGCCTACTGAAAAAAACTCAGATTACCAGCCTTGCATCCACGACAAGCAGAAGTCCAACTGGAACAACCCTGTTCTTCCAACAGGGACGAGGAAGGATCAAGCATGGAAGTAACCAAATGCCACTCGACCTCAGCAGCGCAGCACATGAAGAAGGGGCTTACAGTGGACTTTTCGCTAAGATAATGCTCAATACAGGGCTGCTGTGTAAAACATCTCCAGCCAACGTCTGCCCAGGTCACACCACAGCTTAACTGCCGATTATGCCGAAAGATAACAAACAACTCTGAGTGCTAGAGGCCAGACTGAAATACTCAGAACTCAAATGAAGCTCCAATCCCACGTTAGCTCATGCATTTTTTTTGTTTTGTTGTCAACAGGACTTGGCAGTGGAGGTTTGCATTCTGGAATTCCACATTTCTTTAAAATACTACAACTGTAATCCAAGGTTACAAACCTGCATCCAAGCAGGTAGGATTTGGGACTAGAACCAACAATGATCTCTCTATATCCTTGCCGACTTGTGATGAATGCTTTTTATAAATGGATGTGTCTCTGGCCCATGAGGAGGTTATGATGGTGAGCAGCTATGCTTGCTCTCCAGGATGGCACGCCAGTCATCATACCAGGAGAGCAGGCGACGGCGGGAGGGGCAAGGGGGCAGGTCCTTGTTGTGGCAGGCAGTGAAAAGAACATGCTCCCAGGTGGGGTTGGGTTCAACGCCTTCAGGAAAGAAACAAAAAACATTGTCAATCCAATCATCTTCTGACGCTGAGAATCACATGATGATGATCATCAACTTCCATAGTATATTATTTAAGTCTTTTATTTCTGATCACGATTCCAATTGAACAGATATTAGATATGGACATTCTTTTTGGCTTGTGGGAGTTTTACACAAAAATGTTCTGAGGGCAGAAGGAAAAATGATTGGTTCAGAGAGATCAGATTGTAGAGGAGGTGGGTCTAAACAACCAGAGGAGGTGGGACCAAGACATTTGATTGGTTGATCCCACCTCCTCTATTTACTTGAATCGACCTCCTCTACAATCTGATTGGTAATCTCTCTGAACCAATCATTCTCCTTCTGCCCTCAGAACATTTTTGTGTAATTTAAAACTCCCGTGGGCTGTAGTGAATAGATGAGTTAACTAGAGACTATGTAATTACGTAATGTGTAATTTAACTTCTGACAAATCAGTGCCCGTTGTGTGTAATGATCCACATGCAGGCTCACCAAGAATGTCTGGCTTATCGTCGATGAGCAGGTCCCCGGACACCAACGTCTTGTCCCTGGTCAGTATGGTCTGCTCCACAAACTCCCAGCCAAGATGTTTCTCTATCCAGGCATACTGGGGGGGGGGGACCAGGTATCATCTGACAAACTTCTCAGAGACTAAGCAAACATCTTGCATAGAGCCAATACTGAGCAACTGCAGAAAGGAAGTCTTCAAAGTGGGTGGGACCATGTGCCTGTAATCACTGACTGGTTTAAAACAATGGGAATCAAGTAACCAATAGGAATTCAGTCGGTGATGGACTGTGCACCATAATCCCACCAACCGTGGACTTTGAACCTTGTCAATCAGTATTAAAATAGACGAGTTTGGCTGTACCTTCTCAAATGGGCAGAAGCTGTATTGCTTTATTGGGCTAGTGCAAATGAAGACATCTGTACTGCAGAGACAACAGAGGATGAACTATAAGATTGGCATTCACAACTCTGATCGACATTAAAAACAAAAGGACCCTGCATTCGAACAGATTAACACACTGTTTTGCCATTGGCTACTGGGTATATATACCATCTAAACGAATTTCACAGAGCGAATCCCAAAATGGGGCCTGCTGTTGGACCCTTGAGTTAATATCTTTCAATGAAAATACACACAAGGTTTGAGATCTGCTTTCAACAAAGCGTTACTAATGAATAACGCATGGGGTGTAGTGGATATTAACAGCATAAAATCAGATTTGGAGTGGAGAACACCCACCTGACTTGACATCAGTGAGTTGCACAGTAAGCTCTTCTGCACACTGGGCTTTATACAGCATACTCAGAGGACAATCGTGGAGAGGGGTGGGTGCTGCAGTGAACTAACCAATGAAAGCTGGCCATGCAGCTGTGAATTTAAATTTCTCCTCAGCAAAGGATTCTGGATTATACTGATGCAGCAGTCACAGGAGATCATGCAAACCTCACTGCGTGCAGGGAAGCATCTGGAGCTACATCTAAGCCTCTGCGTTTATTCAGACAGACATACTTTTCCATGCTGGACATCTCCTTCAATGCAGCCACACTTCCTGGAAGAGGCTCCAAGTCTATGAAGAAGTTCTTTGATTCCCAAATGCTGATGGCCTTCTCCTATACAGTCAACATAAAGTCACCGTCACATACTGAGGTGGGTCAGCTGTAAGCACAAACCGGGCGTTGCCTGATTTCAAGTACAAAGTCTGGAGTCCACCTGCAGATCTGACCTTTTAGACTGAATGAGAGAAAAAAAATCAAGCTTAACTTTTCTGCACCCTAGCCTAATGCATTAAAATCCAGTCCTAATGGAAAACCTGGTATTGGTCTCCAGCAGATCTCTAGATCAATAACGAAAAGGTTATTCAGGACCTCCTTCACTAGCATATCTAGCGCTTGTACAGAGGCAAATCAGAGTCAGTGGATCAAAATAGATAAACAAACAAACAAAGAAAACCTCACTCTAAAGCAGTTATTTTTCAGCACATTCCAAATCGTAGTTGAGGAATAAAATACGGTGATGGCAAGAATTACGGAGAACACTGGCACGTACAGTGACAGAATCAAGATCGAAATACAAACTCCTAATCATCCGACAGTATATTAAATCAAGAAGGATAATTACAGCTGGTCATTAATATAGATTAGTGAACTTCAGAGATTTGACCACCACTAGCAAAACTGCATGATATATGAACAGACCCACCCGAAAAGCCGGTGTTCTGACGAGTTGAACTACCTATCGAGACGTACTATCGAGCCTTTTTGCGCATGTGCAGTTCCACCGTCTTGGAATTAGGGTTAGGTTTTAGGGGTTTGGGTTAGGGTTAGGATAAGTGTTTTTGGGGGTTTAGGGTTAGGGCTATCGATTAGCACTACGGTAGGATAACTCGACAAAGTAGCTCATTTCGACAGAACACCGGCATTAATGTACTTACACAGAGATCCCTTCTCAGTTCCCCGTACTGGTTCGAGACCCAAAATCCTCTCCGATTCTCCAGGCTGATGTAGGGCTCGTTGGGGTACTTGGCACGGTATTTCTTCAGAAATCCACCCTCAAAGTCCGCAATTACGCCGTCCATGTCCACCAGAACCCGAAGCCGCTTAGTGTAAGGGGGGCGGCTCGGTGTCCCATGTGCGCCGGAGAAATACCTGGGCGGAACCGGCGAGCCTCTCGACCGGAGGAAGCGCAGGAACCTCGGCAGGGCAAACATCACAAGCTGCCGTATAACCACTTTCAAGCACCCGTTCGTGAGTTAAATGAACATACCAGGAGAAAGTGATAGGATTGCACAAAAGTCCACCAGAACTTGTAAGCGGTGAACAATAGCTGCAGTGTTGGCTTATTTTTCACAAGACTGGGTTTCATTTATCAAACTAAACTTATTTGATTTAAAAAAAATGCCCAACATAACGGCAGTCAGATACAGTATCGTATCATAAATATATTGCTTTGCTACACCGAGTGGGTGCAGCATGCAGTCAGAGTGTATAATCTGACGCCGTTTTTTGCAGTGTGTGTGCTGAATTAATATGGACATTTAACGTGCATCGCTCCAGCAGCCGCTGTTCAATGGCCATTTGGGGTCACCAGTCCATTTGGGGTCGCTTACACCGGGTGCAATGTCGGCTTAGGGCGGAGCGCCTCTTAATAAAACTGCCCCGATGCCCCGCCGATCAACCATACATCGGTGCTCTGCAAGGCTACGGATCTACACCGCAGCGCACACCCTGAGTAGAGGAAATGCCCAGCAGACGCGATAACCCGGTAGTACCCTGTTGTCGTTCCTGCAGCGGTGAACTCCCTTAAAGGAGTAGGCCTTGTTTTTTAAGTTAAGATGCGGGCAGGCGTTAATTGCGCAGACGTACTCAAATGAGGAGTGCCGAAGCATATTCAGAATTGTTCAGGACAGTCACACTAGATGTGTCAATGACATTGTTTTTTGAAAATCGCCACTGTTTTTGATTTTAATCAGTCCGATGTCAGTTTTAGATAAAAAGAAAACGCACATGTAACATAAGTTAGTTGTGAAATTGTAAACCACAGACATATAGTTGCTGTATCATTAATAATATTTTTACAAATGTTGGGTCACAATTACATGGAAGCAGCAGGTTTACATGAAATCCGCCGTCGCCCTTTTAGGGACTATGACGTAATGCAGCAAAATCTCGTCGGGCGGCGAGCCTTATAGGCAAATCTCGCGGTGTTTCCTCCCTCAGTGGCGGCTCTCAGGGCCCCTCACTCACTCCGGTCTCGTTTCTGACATTTGAATGAAATCGGACCGAGAAAGCACCGCGGTCAGCCACAGGAAAAAGAATGGCTTCAGCTCTGGAGCAATTCGTGAACAATGTGCGACAGCTCTCCGCTCAAGGTATGGACGCCGGGCGTTTTTTTGATAAATTAAATTACTGGAATAACAAACTAGCCATTTGGAAGCAGAGGCTTGCCCGCTATGCAGCGCTAGCTTTTTTGCTTGATCATGTAAACACGCCTCTTATATGCATCTAGCCAGCAAAAGACCTTATTTTACACCCAGGATAATAGGCTAAAGACTCAGAAGTCTTTGCTTGTCGATGTACCAAAAGCAACAGTTAATGTCATTGTCACCAAGACTTTTGTGTTTCTCGGGAAAATATTGCCTAGTAGAATGTCGAGCGATAGTCCCAACTCATCTCTTTCCTTATTGGCTGTATTTCACCACGGACGAATCCTATTGGCTGTTAGCCCTGTCAATCTCTCCGTCGGCTACACTTCCTCCCAAAATGCATGCAGGCCCTGACAGAATTTCCACCCTGCACCCTGTCTCGTGTCGCTATGTATAATTCAATTTTCCTAATTATACTATGTATACTGACGGAGTGATTTTTAAGTTTATATAATATAACTTTTGGTTGTTAAAATGATCAAGCATTTTAACCCTGTAAGATCATGATAATGTGACCGACAAATAGCCTCGCTATTCGTGATTTTGTAACAGCTGGTATGTCATGTCCTGGATCTAAAGTGTTGACATAATCTGTAAATAAACACAGTCCCTTAAAAGCTGAAGTAATGTTTTAGCCTGCAAGGTGATTTTTGCACATTTTTCTTAAGATCGAAAAGGCTCGATAACTGTTCTTTAGCTGTGCACGAAATTAAAAATAATAGTGTCAGATCTGTTTGGAGCATTCACGACGCTGAATGGGGATGTTTGACTGCTGTGCTCCAGCGTCACTGACAGCTGGCGTATCGCTTTTACGGCGGTAGCTGCATCGATCGATGCCGACACGTTCTGCTGTTACTTTAATTATTACCGTTGATTACACACTCGGGCACCATGAACGTGTGTGTATATATATATATATATATATATATATATGGCTTAAATCCAGCCACCTTGTCTTGCACTATTCTTTGTTTTTGCACTGTTTAAATAATCGCAAATTTCTCTTTTACTCTCACTTACCGTGTGTATATCTCACTGTTCCTGTGATAATGTTATCTGCTGTTACTGTATACTTGTAAATGGACAATGACAATAAAGCTCATTTTGCTTGACGTACAGTATTTCCTTGGGGCAGATCTGCCCGGGAAGAGTGTATAAATTCACGGGCTTGTAGATCCGCTGGTTTAATGTTTCCCTCTCCTCTCAGGTCAGATGACTCAGCTTTGTGAGCTGATCAACAAGAGCGGTGAGCTGCTGGCGAAGAACCTGTCCCACCTGGACACGGTGCTGGGGGCCCTGGATGTTCAGGAGCACTCCCTGGGGGTGCTGGCTGTGCTGTGAGTGCTGCCATGCTTGGGCCGATGGGTTTATCCCTGGTGCCACACTCGGGACACCAACCATGGGGCGTTTCGCTGTCTGTGTTTGCAGCCAGTGTTGGGGATACTGGTCTGTGATCTTTTCTGAGCGTTTTTTTGGGATTGGGCTGTTGTACTTTGCACCAAGAATCACAATAAACTGTGATAATGAAGTGTCTCAAAATATGCAAAGATTTAATTAGGATTCAGATACGTTGGATCTTCTCACCTTTACTTGTGGGAGTTTTACTTACACAAAAATTTTCTGAGGGCAGAAGGACCAATAAGATAACCAATCAAACTGAAGAGGACGTGGGTCCAAGCAACTTCTGGAGGCAGCACCAAGACATCTGATTGGTCGGTCCCACCTCCATCAGTTGCTTGGACCCATATCCTCTACAATTTGATTGGTTCAGAGAGATAACCAGTCATTGTTCCCTCTGAGCATTTGTGTGTGAGTAAAACTCCCATGAGCGATGTTTTTATGTGTCTGTATGCTTAACTGCAAACCAGCTGCATCACTATCAGCGAATGGGTTTGATTTTAATATGCTCTGCAGTTTATTCAATCCGTGGTTCAGTCAGGCCAAATAAATTGAGAAGTATACGGTATGTGGCATACAGAGATTGCTGTTTCCCGCCACTTGCAATTATAGTTGACCATAAGTGGTGACTGTTTAAAAGCACAGCAATAGGGCTGAACGATATATTGTTTCAGCATCGTCATCTTAATGTGTGCATGCGCAATAATTCCATTGCATTTGTTGCCACTGCTTTGTGTCTGTTTACACAACTCCCAGCAACACCACTGACATATTTGACACACATTATTCGTAGACAATAACAGGGTCTGTTTGGCTATAGTTTATTTCGGGTAAATTTAATCTTTTTTTTAATATAAGTATTGCAGTATTACTCATGGAAATGTAACATCTCCTAATGTGATATCATGCAGCCCTACGCAATGTGACGTCGACAACTTCTGGCCGAGACTGGTGACCGTCGGCAGACATTTTGCTTTTGGCGGTTCTGCGTGTTAGTCGAGAAAACAGCTAGTTATGGATGCATTAAATGCATCTGTGCTTTTGAAGCACTGAACAGCTCTCAGAAGGTGAGCCTTATGCTCAGTCCGCGGTTATCTAGCTGTGTGTGGCTCAGTTGGTTAATCCTCAGCTCAGCTATCTGCCCGTGGTCAGAAGGTTGTCGGTTCGAGCCCTGGCCTTGGTAGAATAGTCACATTTATGCTGGGCCTTGAGCAAGGCCCTTAGTCAATCCTCTGTAATGTTTTCGGGGTGCTGGGTAAATGACCATGATGGGATATGTGAGGAGAAGCATTCAAGTGTACTTGCACTCATACTTGGGCAAATGAAGCGTAATTTTATTTCGGAACGGTGGTGTCTCCAGGGCTGGCCCAACCCTTTTGATTAAGCTAGCTGTCATTTGTCATCTTCCTTCATTCTGATTGGCTGATAGGGGTCGCCCTGCGTGTGTCACAGGGGTGTAATGTGTCTTGCGAGGCGGCCAATCACAGGGCGGCGTGTTCTGCATGCCGAGGATGTGGTCGCTGGCAGTGATCCCCGCCTCCTGTCCCCCCCTGCAGGTTCGTAAAGTTCTCCATGCCCAACATCCCCGACTTCGAGACGTTATTCTCCCAAGTGCAGCTCTTCATCGGCGCTTGCAACGGAGAGCACATCCGATATGCCACGGATACCTGTGAGTGTCGGCGCGTCGCGCCCCCCAATTCCGGTCCTTACCACAAGGCACCCTGTCCCTCCTGAGAGGGAGACGCAGCAGCGGGGGGGGGGGGGACTGACGGCTGTGGTTGGACTGTAAGGGGGAAAACAACCAATAGGATTAAAGCCTGGTTCATGCTTTTAGGACAGACATGGACAGATTTAAACTGAGGGATTTAGAAAATAAGCAGATGCTGCTTGGTTTGCTACCAAACAATGTATTTTATCGTTGTTCTTTTATTATTGTTTAAACATACTTATTTTTTTCCTCTCCAGTCGCTGGCCTCTGCCATCAACTGACAAATGCCCTGGTGGAACGTAAGCAGGCAAGTCTGCCCATTTATTTTGACTTTTTCTTTGGTTTGTTCGATCATCCTTTTTCTACGCAGGGTGTGCTGCTGTATTCTTGAGTCGTCTGTGTGAGCAAAGAGATCACTGGGCTTTGAACACATGTCCAGCTGTTTAGGTTCAGCCCCACCTTGCCCCTCCCCCGGTTCTTGTGACTGGTATTTATTGGTTAATAACAGACGCTGGCTGCCTTTGTCCTGAAGCTGTCCTTGTTTCCTCCTGTCCACAGCCCTTGAGAGGGATCAGCATACTCAGACAGGCAGTAGACAAAATGCAGATGAATGCAAACCAACTTACCTCAGTTCACGCAGACCTGTGTCAGGTAGGCCCAGCGTCGTCCCCCCCAGCATGTTTTCGCTTTCCGAGGCTCGTCAGCGGTGACGTGATCTTCACCTTGGTGCATGTATCCAAAACCCATTTATGTGTCCTTCTCTGACCTCCAAGGACGTTGTGGGCTGCGGTCCCCAAAAGCACCATAGCGATTCCCTTTAAGGTCCTAGTGGCGACTTAACACTCGAGAGTGTTGTTTTTTTTAATCTAAGCCACACTGGGTGCTGTTTCAAAAGAAACACACTCGCAGAGGCAGGGGCTCAGAAGGAACACTGGTTAGCCCCTCCCTCGAGGTGACGACTGCCCACTCGCTGTCGCCCCGCAGCTGTGCTTGTTAGCGAAGTGCTTCAAGCCGGCGCTGCCGTTCTTGGAAGTGGACATGATGGACATCTGCAAGGAGAACGGAGCCTACGACACCAAGCACTTCCTGTGTTACTACTACTACGGCGGCATGATCTACACGGGCCTGAAGAACTTCGAGCGAGCGCTCTACTTTTACGAGCAGGTACGCTTCCCTCTCCGCTCCGAATCGCCGGGGATGGACCCCAGCAGAATGCCTCCCCCTGATTACCCCCTGATGGCGTGATTCTGGCTTGTAAGACGCCTTCGGATACCGACCTCAAGGCAACAGCCTTTATTGTGGCCTGTGAGAGTCTCCAAAATAAGTCAGAAGTCTGGACACACCTACTGAGTGCTGTGACAGATAACCTGCCCCCCACAATCCCCCAACCTAATCCTTATACAGCTGGTTTGGGGTGAGTTTAATTGAAGAGTAAGAGCAAGGCAGCCAGTTTGTGCCCAGACCTTGTGGAGCTTCCTTCAGGACTGTTGGAGAAGCATTCCAGGGGGCTACATCTGGGAGCTGGATGAAAGAATGCCAAG